ATGTCAGTATTTTGATACTTGGTGGTGGTGGTTTTTTTTTTTTTTTAATAAAAGAAATAGAGCTTTACAAATAAAGGTGTCCTTTTCCTGTCCCGAGTCCCGCTCCTCTCGTTCACTCCCCGGGCAAACAGTACCATGAATTTGGTGAGTACCCTTCTCATTCATGTTTTTATACTTGGACTACACCTATTTGCATCTCTAATCTGTATGGTGTTCCTTTTGTAAATCTACCAGCTTAGTGCACTTGAACTTTAGGGTTCTTTCCAAAACTTTCTTTCTGTATTCAGCGTTGCCCTTTGAGCTGGTGCATTACATTTAGTTCATTCATTTTCAATGCTGGTATAGCATTCCAGCGTTGGAGTATTGCAGTCCATCAACCCATACCTCTGTTACTGGGAATTTATTTCCTGTATTTGTTGCCATTCTTGTACATGTATCCTGGCTCACACTTGTAGGATTTTCTCTGTGTTATAGCCACAAATGGAATACACACTAGGGTACGTACATTGTCAACATTGGATATTATTTACCTTTTTTCTCCCATAAATAGAATCAGTTTCCTTTATATATTTAAGAGTTTTGCACGTAGGGGCACCTGGGTGGCTCAGTGGGTTAAGTGTCTCACTTTGGCTCAGGTCATGATCTCACAGTTCATGAGGTCCAGCCCCACATCGGGCTCTGTGCTGACGGCACAGAGCCTGCTTGGGATATTCTCTCTCTCTCTCTCTCTCTCTCTCTCTCTCTCTTTCTCTCTCCCCCTTGCTGTAGTGTGCCCTCGCTCTCTCAGAATAAATAAACTTGAAAAAAAGAGTTTTTTGTCTATTTGGAGCACCCGTCTGGCCCAGTTGGTGGAGCATTTGACCTTTAATCTCGGGGTTGTAGATTTGAGCCCCATGTTGGGTTTAGAGATTACTTACAAATAAAATCTTTCTAAAAAAAAAAAGAGTCTTGCGTCTATTGTTTTTTAATTTAAAAAAAATTTAATGTTTTTTTTTTAATTTATTTTTGAGAGTGAGAAGGGGGAGCAGGGCAGAAAGAGAGGGAGACACAGAATCATAAAGCAGGCTCCATCCAGGCTCTGAGCTGTCAGCACAGAGCCCGACGCAGGGCTCGATCTCACGAACCATAAGATCACGACCCGAGCCGAAGTCCGATGCTTAACCGACTGAGTCACCCAGGCGCCCCGAGTCTTGAATCTATTTAAATGAAAGTGCTTTAGAATATTCTCATATTCTGTCCTTATTTTCTTTTGGCATCAAGGTCATTTTATGTTTTATAGAACATAAGCATTGTTTTACCAGCTATTTTTTTGGTTATTCAGTACCAGGTACATGTCTTTCCATAATTTTATTTTCAAAGTTCCTCTCTCATTTTGCTCTAATTGTGTTTTGAAAATATAGGGGCGCCTGGGTGGCGCAGTCGGTTAAGCGTC